AGTGCCTGAAGAGGAAGTGGGCTGTAGGGAGGAGACTCTTCCACCCTCTCAAAGTCTATTCTCCCTCCTCCCTCTCTCGTCTGTGTATGTATTCTCTCTCATTTGGGGATCATTATTATTATGATTTATCAGCAGCGTTCGTCTACTTTGTCTTTGCGAGTGACGCCTGATTATCACGACTGGGCACATTGCAATTTGGTATCAGAGCTCTACTTCCGACATTGTCAACTACGGCGCTCGCGTCTCTCCGACGCGATTGATAACGAGCGCGCCATTTTCTCTCCACGTTCGCGCGCGCAGGTAAGTGAGTATCGGGATGCTCTCTATCGAGCCCGACGACGCGCGCGAAGGATATGGTGATGACGGGCAGTATATTGACTGCCATTGGATTCTGATGYTGAYGTGGCACTTCCACGTCCACRTGAAATATTGAGTGGGAACTTCTTGTCATGTGCTGATGATATCTCGCCGACGAAACAGAGTTGCCGCATTGCTATTTCGCCAGCCAGAGACGAGTGGAGCTGATTGCCTGGCTCCTTGATTACTCGCTGGCATTGGCGAGGTCAAGCGCTGACGTGGCAGACTTTGATTGGACTTGGGATGTGGCGAGCAGACTTGTGAAGCGCAACATTTTGGGAGTTCACCTTCACTAACGGATCCGGGTAACAAGAGAAAGAGCGGCTAGCATTCATTGTTGAAGCCACCCCCACGATCTTTGATTGGTTCGAAGTGCTGACTTGGCGAAAGCTGAGTTGGCATACCGGGGGGTTTGGCCGAAGCAGGCACGACGTGCCTTGGGAAATGAGTGATGCATTCCCACGCTGGGAGCGGCACAAGCGGCAGACTTTGGCTTGTGGTGCTTGATTGCTGTCGGGGTGATTAGAGTGCATGTTGACGTGGCATTGTGGGGAAGACTGTTGTTGATTGGTTGTGTTGTCAGTACTTACCTGTTGTCTGGCTGTGCGTGCACACGTCCCTGTGAATGCTAACGATCTTGGCCTGCTCGATTACCTGGAAGAGGAGTCATCACACGAATAGGAGAGAAAACTAAATTAGAACAGCTTATAGAAAAGACATCAATCAAGAGAATAATTAATTATTTTTATTTATTTATTTTCTTGTGAATCCTCTGCTGTACTGACGATTGAGTGGCTGTCCAGCCATCAGATAATATTGTCTGTTTCATTTTTAATTGAGAAAGGATTGGCCTGCTAGGTTTCCTGTTGATGTTGATCATGACACCGATTGCTGAGCATAGGCGTCAGTCCATTCTGATCCGTCTGTTTGGACCTGGGCAAATGCCTTATGCGGTGGGAGCAAGTAGCTCCTCGATTGAGCCGCGTACACGTGCCCAGATCGAGGCACGAAGAAGTGAACTGGGAGAGCTCCTCTCCCAACTACTCGTGGATATGGAGTTTGTTGTCCCTGCTGCAAGAGAACAGATCCGGGGTAAATTTGACCTTGATGCGATCTTTGATCGTTTGGCCAAAGCTATCACGGGTGTGGAGATGATAGCAGCAGCGACTGAAATCCAGAAGGTTATTGGCCAGTGTCGTCAGATACTGGACCAATTTACCATTCAGCAGGTGGAAGGAATAGCTCAGCGAAAGGATGGTGCGCCAGAAGTGAAAGTGGAAAACATTGAAGAGAACATCCAAGAGTTGAAAGAGATACTCGCAAAAGAAGAGAAAAAGCGAGAAGAACTGTTGCAAAAGAAAGAACAGGAAACTAGACTACAACAGAGAATGGGTAGAGTACAGCAGTACGTTTCCTTAGATGAAAAAGATGTTGCTCAGACGCTCGGACAAATATTGACGTATTTGGCTTTTCTTGAAGAAAAATTGGACCAACAGCAATCCAGAATGGATGAACTTGTTGTTGGCCTTCATGTCATTACTAGCATTGTCAAGGGAAAAAACCCTGTGCTTGAAAATGATGAAGAGAAAGAAGATAAAGAAAGAAAAGTGGACGTCAAGCCCGAGAAGTTGCTTCTTGGTGGAATGAAAAACGGCGACACAACGAAAAAGGAAACGGTAAAAGAAACCGAGAAGAAACCTGATGGGAATGGCAATGGAGATGGGAATGGGAACGGGAATGGCAATGGGAATGGTGGTCCCTCCGGTCCCACTCCCTCTCCCAAGGACAATGCCAAACCTGCAGATCCGACTAAGCCAAACAAAAAGGAAAAGGTGAAGATGAAATTGCCTTTTACTTTTTCTAATAAAAAAGAAGAAAACCTTCCTTTTTGGATCGCAGAGATCCAGACCTATGTTGGGACCACACCGGTAGAAGAAGAGTCGCAAGTTGCATTCACCACTTCTTGTATGGGGGGTGAGGTGAAGCAATGGGTTCTGGCGGAAGCAAATGCCGCGGGGTTTGACGATATAGGTGAGTGGGTGAAGACTATGACCTTGAAGCAGTTCCTTGCAAAAGTCAAGGACCGTTTCTTGGACAAGACTACGGCCGATAAGGCCTTCGACCAACTCACCACGATAGGACAGAAGTCCTGGTCTTCAGTTGAGTCATTGTCTCGTGAGGTTGACCGACTGTTGCAGGTTCCCGGTCTAAACCTACAGGACTTTAGGTCCTTTACATTTACTCGCGTGCATTGCCCGAACCGATCCGAGGGCACTTGGTCGCCGATGCCAAGTCCGGTAAGTATAGTTACCGTCAGTTCCGCGACCTGGCGTTGCAGCGGGAACAAATGACTTCGCAAGTCAAAGGTTCCTATGCTGCTGCCGTAAAGAATGGAGGAGGAAGCAGTCGGGGAGGCTACGGCAAGCGGATCTTATGGCGTCAAAAGCGCCAAGACCACACCCTCGTCGTATTCGACGACGATACAATAGAAAAATGGTCATTGGAAAACGAGAATGGTGGTGACAGCAGCAGTGACCACGGAAAGGGGGAGGTCACCGCTGCGATGGTCAACAAGGGAGGACCGTCATCGAACACTCGACCGAAGGGAAGACCACGCTCCTTCCCATACCATCCTGGGATTGCGGCCGGCAGACCGTGGCTGAAGATGAGACTAACCCGGGAGGTGTGGCAAGATAGAACGGATAATGCGCAGTGCTTCAAGTCTGGCACTGCGGGGCATGTCATTGTCTTTTGTCTGTTGATTAGGAACTCAAAAGGGAGCAGCCAGTAGGAATAACATTTTTTCCTACAGAGTCGGAGGGTGCGATCACATGCGAGGCGCCTACGATCCCTTTCCACACTCCGACTCCCGTGGCAGAGGATGGAAACCCTTCCGCCCGTCGTTCAGACCACCCTACTCCTGTCTTATGCATGTCTCTGGACGACTCCCTTGACGAGCTTGGTAGCGAGCTAGTCGCGTTACGCAGTTCGTGGGCAAAGAAAGCCAAGTCTAAGGGTGAATTGTTGATTGCTGACTTGATAGTTAATCGCACACACGTGGGTGCGATGTTGGATCCTGGGTCCACACGATCTTACATGTTTGAACGTGCAATCCGCAAGTTGCATCTCGGCATGAAGATCCAGACTTTATCTAAACCGATCACGTCTATGTTCGCTGACAAAAGCACGATGACGGTAACACAGTACGTCGATCGTGTTCGTTGTCAGTTCAGTACCAAGGATGGGAAGAAGATTTGGCATGAGCTTCCCTTCCTGATCGAGAAGAATATGCCGTTTGATATCATCTTGGGAATAGATTGGCACGAGGAAGCTGATCCCAAGATTGATTTCAAAAAGAAAGAAGTAAGAATTAAGGATGAATCGTCTAAGTTGCAACCGATTAAGTTGTATCATCGGTCCGGATCTGACTCTGTTTTGTCTTTCTGTTGCATGAGCTACCCTGCATTCCGATCAATGGTTGCAAAGAAGAAGTTAGAGGATGAGGTAGTAATGTTGTTAGTTAAGAAAGTAGGTGAGTCTTCAACTACCCATCCTCCTGGCATAGATGCACTCCTAACAGAGTTTGCCGATGTTCTGTCTGAACCAACCGGGGTCACTTCGCGTGCTATCAAGCACACAATCGAGATTGTGCCCGGTAGCAAGGTTCCCAAGGGTCCTATCTATCGCATGTCTCCAAGGGAACTTGAGGAACTTAAGAAACAACTGTCTGAGTTGATGGAGAAAGGATGGATTCACCCTAACTCCTCTCCTTATGGTGCACCTGTCTTGTTTGTGCCCAAAAAGGAAGGTGAGTTGCGTCTTTGCATCAACTACCGAGGGTTGAATGCCGTCACCGTAAAAAACGCCGAACCTTTGCCAAGGATCGACGATCTCTTGGATCAGTTGCAGGGTTGTCGAGTCTTTAGCAAGATCGACCTTAAGTCTGGGTACCACCAGATCGAGGTGGATCCCGCCGATCAGCATAAGACCGCGTTCCGTACAAGATATGGTTATTACGAATCTTCAGTGCTTTGCAGGCGCTCGCAAGAGATCACTTTTTCAAAGTAATGATGCGCCGCAGCCTTGGTGTCATGATTAGAAACACATGCTATGTTTCCAAAAATGGATTGAAAAGTAGGTCCATGTAAGCAGAGCAGAGTGGGCCTAAGTAGATTTGAACTACTTTGGTCTAACGAACGCACCTGCGACCTTCCAAAGGTCAATGAACGAGTTGTTTAGGCAATGGCTCGACGACTTTGTAATCGTCTACTTGGATGACATTCTAGTGTATAGTAAAACACTAGAAGATCATCATCGACACCTTCGTCTAGTACTCGGGAAGTTATGCGAGGATAACTTCAAACTCAACCCAAAGAAATCCGAGTTCGCTAAATCTGAGGTCCTGTACTTGGGACATATAGTGAACGAGGATGGATTGAGGCCCGAGGAAAAGAAGATCTCGGCGATCAGAGGTTGGTCACAGCCGAAGACTCTGACAGACCTGCGATCTTTCCTTGGATTAGCAAGTTACTATAGGAAGTGCGTTAGGAACTTCTCAGTTATCGCTGCTCCAATGAGAAGATTGCTCAAGAAAGGTAATATCTGGTTGTGGAACAAGGATTGTGAGTCATCCTTTTGAAAGCTGAAACACGCTTTGACCCAATATCTTGTTCTTAAGATTGCCGACCTGTCTCTTCCTTTCATCGTCACAACTAACACAAGTCAGTACGGTGTTGGCGCTGTCTTACAACAAGACGACGGCAAGGGCTACCGCCCTATTGAGTTCATGTCTAAACGTCTGCCGTGTGAAAAGGTCGCCAACTCCACCTACGAAAGGGAGTTGTATACATTAGTCTGCGCCCTAGAGACATGGAAACACTATCTCCTTGGCAGACATTTTACTGTGTACTCGGACCACTCGACCCTCAAGTGGATCAAAACACAACCTCGATTGTCTGACAAGTTGGTACGTTGGTCTGCTTTTATTGATACCTTTGATTTCGAACTCAAAACTATTAAAGATAAGTCTAATGTTGTAGCAGACGCACTATCAAGGAGGAGTGATTTCTTTGGGGCTATAGTCTCTTACCTGGATGTTGGGAATGATGTGAAAGATCAGATTCACGTTGGATATGCCACTGACCCTGTCTGGAAACCAATCATGGATATCCTAGTCAAGGATCCATCCCAACTTCCTCACTATCGATTGTCTGATGACTTACTCTTCTTGTTGGACCAGACTGAACAGAGACTGTGCATTCCTCACAAGGAAGAACTTAAAAGTCGATTGATTGGGGAATGTCATGATACAGAGGGACACTTTGGTTTCAAGAAGACATATGCTGAGGTGCGTGAGCACTATGAATGGAAGGGTTTGAAAGAGGATGTGCTAACATATGTTCGTACATGCCAAGTATGTCAGAGAAACAAACCATCTCATGAGAAACCCTTGGGTTTACTCCGACCACTACCTATTCCGAGTGAGCCAAGTGAGTCTGTGTCCATAGACTTCATGAAACTCACAAAGTCCCGAAATGACAATAGTCAAGTTATGGTTGTGGTTGACCGTTTCTCTAAATATGCCATGTTCATACCCTTGCCTGCAGAGGCCAAGACTGAGCTTGTGATTGCTAAATTTCAGATGCGATGGGTAACTGAGTATGGGTTTCCCATGTCTATCGTATCTGACCGCGATGTCAGGTTCACAAGCATGTCTTGGCAGAAGCTGATGGAGGCCTACGGTACACGACTCACCATGTCGTCAGGTAGACACCCTGAAACGAATGGCCAGTCTGAGCAAATGAACCGTATGGTCCAACAACTTCTAAGAATGTATGTCCGTCCTGACCAAATAGACTGGGATGAGAACTTACCCAAGATTGTCGGTGCATATAACAATAGTGTGCATACCGCGACGGGACGCACACCTAACGCACTGCGCAAGGGATGGAAGCCTAAGCGTCCCATTGATGTTTTAACCAGGGATCAGTTTCTTAGACTTCCACCAGGGACAAAGGAATATGCCATTATGTTTCAAGAAGACATCAAAAAGGTGAAGGAGAATCTGAGGAAAACCCAAGAGCGCATGATTGAACAAGCTAACAAACACCGACGCCCGTCGACTTTTCAAGTTGGTGACTTGGTCTGGGTTAAGTCCAAAGAGTTCACTCTAGAAGAAGATGTTTCTCAGAAACTGATGCCTGTCTATCTAGGACCCTAGGAAGTTCTCAAGGTGATAGGGGATGCCGATGGACCATCATACCGGATTGACATTCCCCCTCATCTTCGGACATACTCCATCTTTCACGCATCTAAACTGCTTCCATATGTAGAAGGAACATAATTTCCTCACCAACCATCTACTAAACCTCTGTCTATGAATGGCAGCTATGTGGTTGAGAAAATTACTGACCATGGATTCTTTTCTACTGGTGGAAGAGGCAGACCTCAAAAGCAGTATGACGTGAGATTCCAGTTCCAAGATGCCTCTGAAGACCGTTGGTTTAGCAGACGGGAACTGATGGATACTGCTCCTGATATTGTTGCTAGCTATGAACGCGGACTGAAGTCTTAAGTATTTCTGCGGTGGAACTCGAATTCGGGCTGGCAGGAATGCAGTAAACTGCGTTCAGCAGCGGCCTGGCGTTGTAACCCAAGCCCAGGCCCAGCGAGCAGTGCGACCACGCGCTGCTCGGCCTCAGGCCGCTGCGAGTGCTGTGTGACCACGCACAACAAGAAATTCAAAGGTTGAAGTCAAGTTTAGGTCCAAAGTACCTCGCCCAGGCCCTTGGTCGTGTGCATTGACTTGTATGTGTGCAGGTACCCAGTCAGAACGGTGGACCAAGGAGGATACAGTTTCAACTCAATACAGGCCATCGACGACAATCGATCTCGGCCGTGTCTGACTTGAGGACTGGGGTCCAGACCCCGCCGTCAACGCTACATATTGAGCTGACTTCCTGGCTTTGATATCTGGACTCTTGTCTGGAGTCTATGCTGACTTGACGCTCTTCCGTCATGCTGTCTTGCTGGCGAGACACTGCTGGGAGGACTGGATGACCGGCGCTCGTCGCTGGTTCGTGGCTTGAGTGTGCTGTGCGACCAGCATGCTGGCTGGCGCACTACTGTCTTAGGGGTTGTCGATGTGGCAGATGCCACATGTCATCTTCGTGGCCGCTGCCACGTAGGACTGCTGCTGAGGTGGAAGGCGCTGGGCGCCTGTATTGCTGTTCTGCTTGACAAGTACTCGGAAGGGGGATTCAGGACTGTGGTTRGGGTCGTGATAYGTACCTGGTGTCTTCAACTTCGTCGTCACGCCGCTGCTTGATGACTGGTCTGCTGGTGCCACGTGGCACTGTTGGTCTACATTGTCTTGGACGTCCGGATCTCTGATTGAGACACGATTATGCTGCTAGGAGGAGGAAGTGCCTGAAGAGGAAGTGGGCTGTAGGGAGGAGACTCTTCCACCCTCTCAAAGTCTATTCTCCCTCCTCCCTCTCTCGTCTGTGTATGTATTCTTTCTCATTTGGGGATCATTATTATTATGATTTATCAGCAGCGTTCGTCTACTTTGTCTTTGCGAGTGACGACTGATTATCACGACTGGGCACATTGCAAGATTATCAGTAAAGGGAAACCGGGTAAGGCTCCCGGTCTGTATGGTGGTTGGCTACTCTGGGTAGACTGTGACGACCCAGGCCTAAAAAAGATTGTCAGTTTATAAGGGACGCTGGGCCCCATTCCCAGCATGTGCCGCTCCCCACAAATAGATAGGAGCTCTGTTTTCCTTAAAAAACAAAAACAGAAAGGGCAAGTACGTTGAAGTCACAGGTGCTGTTCAGAATGAGCAAAAAAATAACTCA